TCAACCTCACCGATCTCACTCTCTTATTCAACCACCTACTCAATTTTCACTTCTTCTCGTCCACTCTCTTTGCCGTTCTCCTTATCTTTCTAACAACGCTCTACTTCACAACCCGCCCTCGCAAAATCTTCCTACTCGATTTCGCTTGCTATAAACCCCATCCTTCTCTTATATGCACAAGAGAAACATTCATGGACCGGTCTCAACGTGTTGGTATCTTCACAGAAGACAACCTCGCTTTCCAACAAAAGATACTCGAACGTTCCGGTCTTGGACAAAAGACTTACTTCCCGGAAGCTCTCTTACGTGTCCCACCGAATCCTTGTATGTCCGAAGCGAGGAAAGAAGCTGAGACGGTTATGTTTGGAGCAATAGACGCAGTGCTTGAGAAAACTGGAGTGAAGCCTAAGGATATTGGGATACTTGTGGTGAATTGTAGCTTGTTTAATCCGACGCCTTCACTATCGGCTATGATCGTGAATAAATATAAGCTTAGAGGAAACATTTTGAGCTACAATCTTGGTGGTATGGGTTGTAGTGCTGGTCTTATCTCCATTGATCTCGCTAAACAGCTTCTCCAGGTAATTGTTTTGTAAATTTTAAGTCGTTTAGTTACAAATTTGTCAACTTTTCTATTTACGATATTCTAAGATCGCTTTCCATATAGGGTCATCTGATAAGAAATAACAATCTCGTGACAGAGAGAAAATTTAATTTAATTTGTGTGGAGAGGTTGGGACTATTCTAGTTTTCTTCACGTCATGTCATTATCTATATAAATTCTTGGAGAATTGATTTTATGTGTAAAAATGGTAAAAATTCTAGCTTCGATTATTATGAGCATACTGATTTTTATCTGAAAAATGGATAGAAACTCTAGCTTCGATTATTATGAGCACGTGTACTTTTATCAAGTTTGTGCCAGGCTTTTTTTTTTTTTGTCTGTAGGTAGGTGGTGGTTGTGAAAATTGAAGATCAATAGATTGTCTTAATAGCAAGTACAATTTTGTATTCAGTATACAATCTATGTGTGTATAGAAAATCACCTTAGCTACATCTTATTTCTTTTGGTAAATAAAGCTGCGAAAATTGACATTTTTTTAAACAAAAAATAAGGCTTGGCAGATAGTTAATCACATGATTTAGGCTTGTTAATCATTTAATTTGTTGGCTAGGCAGGCGGCTAATCCTTTTCTTAAATATACATGACAACGATATGAAAGATCAATTAAAAATAAGATAAATTAATTAGTGTTTTGTAAACATCAAGGGAACTATATTCTCATACCTATTAGTATTAACATTAATACAAAGTTGATAGGTTTCGTGTCATGCTTGCTTCCTTATGTTTAATCGGTGAAAGGTGGTTTGTTGAACAATATCACCAAAAACAGCAGGTTTCTAAAGAGTATACGTTTTATAATTATAATCAATACACGTTAGGTCTCACTTA